GTGCAGAATGTTTTCTTGCTCAGTTCCCAGGAAAATCATGTAAATCGGGGAGGCTTATTGGGGTCCTTTTTGGATTGTGAGAATAGTGGATTTAGGATTCTCTTCCCCTCCTGCTGCTCTCTCTGTTGTGCTGCTGGATTTCTTCTGGGGCTGGTGTTGTGACTCCTCCATGCTTCCCAGGCAAGCTGCAGACTGCATGGATTGGGCTGGGAAGTGCCCTCCAGAGAGCAGCTTCTCCCACACAGAAACAAGCTGGGAGTGTGTGCAGTTTGCTTCAGCTTGCAGGAGACATGCAGGATCTGACTTTCCCCGGTTTAACTTGCATTAACCTTTTCTCTATCCTTCCCTTTATCTCAGCCTTTCCCCTCTCTTTCCACGGGGATGGAGAAGCCACCCTGCCAGGACATCCCAGCAGGGAAGGCACTGGACACAGCACAGCTTCGGAGATCTGTTCTGCCTATTTTCTTTCCACTTTTTTTTGTCCTAGTGACTCTTTGTGTCAGCCTGTGTGCTCTCAGCAGAGCCTGGGGAAGCAGTGCCTGCTGCCTAGTTAGCAAAAGGAGATCTTTAGGATGGGGGAAGAGGCAGGTGAGATGTGTGCCTGGGTTTGGATCCTTCATCCTTCTCCTGGGGAGACCTGCAACCTTGGAGGCAGCAGAGCTGATGAGCCCTGAAAACTTGGGGGTAAAGATTCTACATCCTCAGAGGACTCCAGGAGAGGAGCTTTTCCCTGGCTTGAGGTGACCTGTGGCTGTCCCTAGGGCTGGTGACAGGGACCTGGCCCCAGTGATGGTCCCACATTTCCCCTTCTGGCTGTGGACTGGGAAGTGATGGAGCTGTCACTGGGCTCCTGCCTGAGCTCTTACGTGCAGCCAGAAGGATTTTTCCACCCTTGTCATGACTTGATTATGTGCTCTCCTTCCTACCCAAATGCTCAACAGCAGCTAAATATAGGCTGCAGCAGTGTTGATTGTGGCTTTTCTAATCGAGCTTTACACTCCAACAGGGATCTCTACTAATGGGATGTGGCATCCTTGAGAGCACCCAGCTGAGGAGCCTGCTTGAGAAGCAGATGTAGACACAATGTGACTTCCCAGTGGGATCAGGTCCTGCTGACAGTTGCTTTTGGAGCTGTGCACAGAATCCTGGTTTTGGCTGGAATAGAGTTAATTTTCTTCCCAGAAGCTGGTCCAGGGCTCTGGTTGGGATTTAGGATGAGAACAATGTTGGTGACACACTGATGGTTTGGTTGTTGCTGAGCAGTGCTCTCCCTAAGTCAAGGATTTTCCATTTCCCATGCTCTGCCAGCGAGGAGGTGACAGGAACTGGGAGGGATCATGACCAGGACAGCTGATCCAAACTGGCCAGAGGGATATTCCAGACCATGGAACGTCATGCCCAGTAATGGAAACTGGGGAAGTTGGCTGGGGGACCAGTTGGGCTTTTTGTGTGGTGAGAGACTGTACTGGGCACCACTTGTCTGTCTGGGATTTTAATCCTCTCACTCTTTTCTTATCTCCATTTTCATTACAGTTATTATTATAATAATTAAATTTTACTGTATTTCAGTTATTAGACTGTTCTTATCTCAAGCCATGGGGTTTACCTTTTTTCTGATTCTCCTCCCCATCCCACTGGGAAGGTTGGGATGAGCGAGAGGCTGCGTGGAACAGGGGTTCAGTCACAACACACAGGATGGTAGATTCACAAAGCCAGAGTGTGCTTGGGAATTCGAGTTCAGATTTCAGATCTAAACAGCTTTCTAGTTGTTTTGCTTTTTCTGATAAAATAAATCACTCCCTGCAGATATACAACTTAAAATCGCTCCTCTAACAGAGTGAATTCTTCTGTTTTCCCCACTGTGTGACTCGTGTGAGTGGCCCTGTGGGCACAAAAGGATGGAGCACTAAAATGTTCATGAGGTTCTGCAGGTGATGGAGCTGTACACAGGTATCCTGGGATTTGCATGCAAGAAGAAAGGAATGTTTTGAACTCATTTATGCAGCACAGCGACATGTTAAGCTCCATCCCCGTTGCCTTGTGCCAGTGAAATGTGTTACAATGAGAGGTACAAATGTTCTGCTGGAATAGAAACGGCTCAGGATGCTAATTCTGGCTTTGTATCTCCTGGTGCAGCTTGTTTCCATGCTGATTCCCAGTGAAATGTGGTGCTTGGGGTGGGCAGGATGGTGCTGAGCACCTGGCACAGCTGTGGAAGTGCCTCTCCAGGACTGGGGCAATACTGTCCCTGTCCCATTCCCAGAGCACTCTGTGCAGCTTCAGCTGGGAATTAAGAGAGAATGTGACTGATGTATTTTACCAAAATTCTGATCCTAACGCTCAAATGTGCTCCCCATCCCTGCTCGGGGGACACACACTCGGGGCTGGCAGTGGCTGCTGTGGCTGCTGGTGGCTCAGCCCCAGTGATGTCCCTGAGGTGTTAGTGGGACCATCCCGTGGGAAATGGCTGCATGGCACCACTCCCACGTCACTGCTCACCTCTGGGTGACATCAGACACCAACACACTTGGGAGCTGCTGCCACATCTGTAACAGGAGGGAAAACCAACCGGGATCAACGTGGCGGGGACAGGCGGCACTGAGGGTCAGGAGCTCTGGCACCACAGACTCTGCCTGCCTGACCTGCAGGACTGGAGAGTGAACTAGGATGAAATTTAGTGCTGGAACATGCAGGGAGAGAGAGCGACTGCCCTGCAGTCTGCACTGGGAGCTCAGCTCTGCATGATCACAAGGCTAAAGCCAGGCTGGGGGAGCTGGGGCTGCTCACCTGGAGAAGAGAAGGCTCCAAGGCCTAAAGGGGCTCCAAGAGAGCTAGAGAGGCCCTTTGAACAAGGGCAAGGGGGAATGACTTCCCACTGCCAGAGGGCAGGGTTAGATTGTTGGCTGTGAGGGTGGGGAGGCACGAGTTGCCCAGAGAAGCTGTGGCTGCCCCATCCCTGAAGTGTCCAAGGCCAGGTTGGACGGGGCTTGGAGCAACCTGGGCTAGTGGAAGGTGTCCCTGCCCATGGTGGGGAGTGGGACTGGATGAGCTGCAAGGTCCCTCCCAGTCCAAACCATCCTGGGATTTTGTAATGCTCCAAGACAGGTGGAGGATGCTGAGTCCGAGGTAGAGGGAGGGCAGTGAGAGGTGTGGAAACATCCATGGGGAATGAAAGCTCATTTTGTGAGAGAAGACCAAAAGAACTTTCCTTAATCAGCCTTGAAAAATGCAGGTGGAAAGGGGCTGAGGCTTCATTATAATGGAAATTAATCATGGGAGCAAACACCAGAGAGGGGGGATAATTATTTAAGCTGAAGGTTAATATCGGCACAAGAACAAATGAGCATAAACCAGCAAAGAATTGAATTTTGGATGGAAATTTGAAGGATCTGCACCATTCAGTGTGAGATTTTCCCGTGGCAGGGGGTTGGAACGAGATGATCTCTAAGGTCCCTTCCAACCCAAACCATTCCATGGTTCTGTGATTTGGGAACAGCCCCCTTGGGGTGTGCTGGGGGGCTCCTTTGGGCTCAGCTGTGGGTTCTGTGACAGCAGGGGAAAGGGGACAGCCTTGGGGTGACCCCAGCCTGTACCCCCAGCACAGGGCAATCCCTGCATGCCTCCTCACGCCACAGCAGTGCTGGGCTCTGTTCCTTTTTGTCACATTTCTGGGGTCCTTGCAGCATGGCCTGGGCCAGTGTCAGACCTGAGGAGGGCACCTGAGGTCCGTCCCTTGATGGAGGCTCTGGGGTGAAGCAGGAGAAGGGAGACCCACTCCCATTGCAGTGCTTGGCTCACTGGGGTTTTGGAGGAGGTGGTGACACATGACCACACTGCCAGCACATGGATGTGTGTCCTGGTCACCTCTGCAGATTTGGAGACCCCATCATCAAATTCAAGTGAGTTTTGACCTCACAGAGACCTTGAATTTGTGTTTCTACATGTTTCATGACACCTTTGTGAACTCTGCAGTCCCTGCTGTTGGAGTCTGGACCTTCCCTAGTGCCCGACCCTAGGACCCTGGAGTGACCTGGTTTCTACCACAAATACCTTTCTGGTGTCTTGGATGATGCTCACTGGGGGTTTTACTGTCTTAAAGGCAATTTGTATCCCTTCAATCTTGAACCTGCTGGTTTCTTTATTTGCTTAATTCAGAATACCTGTGAGTTTTGAGGTGGGGTGGGTGCTAGAATGCTTTGTGTGCTGTTTACGCTGCTTGTGCCTTGCAGCTTAAGATGCAAACCCTCATTACAGTACTGGCCAAGGGAGAGGGCTTTCCTGGGACAGCAGCAGCTTTGCAAACAGCGTGGTGCTCAACATGAGCTGGTGTGCCCAGGTGGGCAAGAAAGCCAGTGGCCTCTGGCCTGTACCAGCCATGGTGTGGCCACAGGCCCAGGGCAGTGCCCATCCCTGTGCTGGCACTGCTGGAGCACCTCCAGCCCTGGGGGCAGTTCTGGGACCCTCAGACCAGCATGTCCAGGGAAGGGAACAGAGCTGGGGAAGGGGCTGGAGCAGCAGGAGCGGCTGAGGGAGCTGGGGGGGCTCAGCCTGGAGAAAAGGAGGCTCAGGGGGGACCTTCTGGCTCTGCAACTCCCTGACAGGAGGGGGGAGCTGGGGGGGATCGGGCTGTGCTTCCAGGGAACAAGGGACAGGATGAGGGGAAACAGCCTCAAGTTGTGCCAGAGGAAGTTTCAATCAAATATTGGGAAAATTTCATCATGGAAGGGGTGGTCAGCTATTGGAACAGGCTGCCCAGAGCAGTGGTGAAGTCACCATCCCTGGAAGCGTTTAAAAAAGGTGTAGATGTGGCGCTTGTGGCCATGGGTTAGTGCTGGGATAATGGTTGGACTCGGTGATCGTAGAGGACTTTTGCAACCTAAACAATTCCATGATTTTAGGAAGGGCCCTATGCTCAGTAGGCAGCATGTGTGTCTCAGAGGGGTCCTGTGAAGCCCCATCCCTCCTGCTGAAGGGCTGTGCCCTGTGTTCTGTCCCCTCAGGTCTCTGGACAGAAAGCTGCAGCGGCCGCTCCTGGGCAAGTCCCGGACGCTGCCCAGCATCCCACAGTCCCCAGTCCTGAGCAGGCTCCCCCTCCTCGACTCCGCGGCCTACAGGGAGGAGATGCCGGAGCAGAAGCCCTACAAGAAGTGCTCGGCCTCTGACCACCAGAAAGGCTGCACGGTCCCTTCAGCCGGTGAGTTCTGCGGCACCGGGATGAGCCTCTGCCCCTTCCCACGGCAAAACCCCAGAGAACCTTCCCTGCTTCTGCAGGGGTATAAATAACAAGTCCAGCTCCAGCCTAGGTGGGGTTTATCCTACTCCAAAACCAGCCCTTCTTGACAAACTTTTGGGTTTTTTTGCCCCTGGTTGGGCCTTTCTTTGAGCTTGGTACTTAAACCTCCCCATCCCTCGTATTATGCTGATGAAAAAGAAGAGTTGGATGCTGAAAGGCACCCAAGGTGGAGAGGTGATGCCTGGAGCATTCTGCCTGGGGGTGGTGCTTGGATCTTTCTGCCTCTGGATGAGCTGCCTCTCCTGGCCACATGTGCCTGGGTGAGCTGCTCTCTCAGGAGCTCCTTGGCCTCTGCAACAGGCCCAAGTGCCTCTTTTCTGTGCCATGAAGTGGCTTCAGGGCACTCATAGATGGTCTCTGGCAGGAGCAGTGGCAGGAGCATCTCAGTGTGCTCTTCCCACAGTCCTGGCCTTGGAGGTTTGTGAATGCTCCCCAGCCTGGCACTGTGTGTTGGCCCTCGGTTCAGCTCTGAGGGTTTTTATCATGTTCTTCTACTCTCATGCTGATCCTGATGAAATACTAATATGGTTGGACCAGCTGCTCTGAGCAAGTTTATTGGCAAAACCGCTGGTGGCCAAAGTGTTTCAGTGCTTTTGGTGCCAGCAGGATCACGCTGGGACTATAAAAATAATGGGAAAAGGGATTATTAGCACTGAAACAAAGATAAGGCCTGCAAGCCAGGGCTGACAACCCAGCACTGAATAAAATCCTTATTAAACAGCTCCCTTCAAACAGCACCCTTGGATTTTTTTATTTTTATGTTTTTTTAAGTCTAACCCGCTCACAGTTGGATCCCTGTGTTACCCAGCAGAGCAGCTGTCCAAACCATGGATTAATTTTAGTGCTTTGCAGGCTGCATTTTGTTTTGCGATGCTACTAATTCTCCCAAAAGTCGTGCACAGAGCAGATCTGGGATGCTGCTGAGCCCATCCTGCTGTGCTTGTCCTGGCAGAGCCCCTGGGTGTCCTGCAGCTCCTGAGCAACTGCTCTGCTGTGTTTGGGACCCACGTTTTTTCTTTCAGCCCATCAAATTGCTGGAGTGGGTCTTGGAATGGGAAGAATACCTGTAGTATTGTAGTAGCATCCACCACAAGGGATAGCATAGCACCCCTCTGCAGGTCCCTGGTTGGTGTGCTGGTTGTTCCAGGGAGCTGTGCTGGAGGGAGAGGGAGAGAGGGAGAGAGAGGCTGGTGTAAGACTGTGGGGTGATGTCCCAGAGTGAGTCAGACCCACTGCAAACTGGTCAGGCTCTGCTGCAAGCACCTCCTCTCCTGTGAGGGGCTCGAACTCCATGGAACAGCCATCCTGGAGCAAGCCCTGTGCACAGCCCTCCCTGCACAGCAGGAGTGAGGAAGAGCCCTGAGTTCACATAACAACGGTTCAGGATCTTGCTTTACTCCTGGCTGGAAGGTGCCAAGGATGCCAAGAGGAGGAGAAAGTTTAGGAAAACCCTTGTAGATTGGAAGGCTCCCTGCACAGCCAGAGCCTTGGATGAATGAATGAGGAGTTGTTTTCTGTCCAAATCCTCCCGTGTTATTTTTCTGGCTCAATTAGGAGCTGCTAATTAACTGCTCATGAAGGCTACCAGGATGCTGTCATGGAGGAGAAAAAGAAGGGATGGCACTGCAGGATGGGACGTCTGGGCAGCAGGACAGGAGAGGGGCAGCACAGGGCAAGTTAACAATCCCCAGGATGCTGGCAAGGAAAACAGGATTCCCACAGGGAATTCCCACAGTTACAGTGGGGCTGCAGGGTGTTGGGAGAGAGAGGAAATGGCACAGGTTGCCCAGAGAAGCTGTGGCTGCCCCACCCCTTGGAAGTGTTCAAGGCCAGGTTGGACGGGGCTTGGATTCACCTGGGCTAGTGGAAGGTGTCCCTGCCCATGGCGGGGGGTGGAATGAGATGGTCTGTAAGGTCCTTTCCAAGTCAAAACATTCCATGATTCTCTGATAAGTACCTTTTCTTAAAGAACTGGTGAATTTGCTTTGAGCAGGTGCCATCGCTCCCCATTTGAGACAGGGGGACATGGCCAAAATGAGCTCGGGAAGAGGCTCATCCACAGGGACATGAAGTTTGGCAGGAGCAGGGCTGTCCATGGGAGCTCATCTTCCTGGAGAGTTCACCACTCCATGGGGAGGAAAATGCACTTTACCTCGCTGCTGTTTTGGGGGGCCACGAGCAGAGGAGTCACCAAGCAGGGTGGGAGAAGTGAGTGAGGTGTGACATCCTCATCTGACCATCAGAACATGTTCCTCAGCCTTTTCCTTTGTGTCCCATGGTTCCAGTGTGTCAGTGCTGGAGGAGGGGTGTGTCCTGTCACTCCATGGGAGGACACAGGAGATTGTCCTGCTGTGGCACCACAGCTCCTCTGCAGATCCTTGTGAGGGTATCAAGGTGCCTGGCGGGGAACTGGGGCCCCAAGGATGGACAGAAGAGCTGAGCCTGCGACTGCTGAGCCTGCCAGATCCTCTCCTCTCAAAAAAACCCTTCCTTTTCATTCAGAGACCAAGGCTGGGCTGGTGAACAGGTCTGGATGTCCTGTTGGTCTGGTTTTGGTTTTCCCCTTCAGGTAACCCACAACAGTGGTGTGGTCAGGTGGGACAGGCCCCAGGTTTTCCTTCTCCATCATATATCCTTCAACCCCTTACCCGGAGCAGTGTTCCTGGATTAACCCCAAATCCTTATGGCCACAAGCCTGGGATATAGCAGGGGGAAGACAAGCACAAATGAGGCTTGACTGAACAGGGGCAGTGCCTGCCTTGTCCCAGCGATTATCCCTTGGGTGTCACACTGCAGTGTGCCAAGAGATTTCACACAGGCTGGTGGCACAGAGAAATGAGCTGCCTTTTGCTTCTCATCCCTTCTTCTCCTGGGAAGTTTTAGGTGTGAGACTGAGAAAGACTCTCTGTTGCTCTCTATTCCTCCTACAGCAGGCAGGGGCTTCTTCTCAGCCTTTGGCTGCCTGCAGCTCTCACCTGCAACCCTCACCTGCAGCCTGCCCAGGGAGGTTGCTGCATGTGGTTTACATTCCTGATGCCTTGCAATTCCCTCCTCTTGCACCTGGAAGGAGCAGACCACTCTGGAGCTCTTCCCTGCCTCCCCCCTCCCTTGTCTGTCAGGCAACATGCAGAGCTCTTCAGGAGCTGGCTCTATGCCCTGCTGTGGAGCTGGGAAGAAGCGAACTGATAGCAAGGTTGGCGTGAGTTTATTGGGAGTTATGCCCATGGGAGGAAAGGAAAGAAGCCAAAAGGAAGCAGCTGGATTGAGCTTAGACCAGGATCCTGGAACTAATTTTCCTAACACTTGCAGGGATCATCCTGTCCATGCTCAAAGGAGGTACTGAAGAGGCACCAGGTCTCTGTCCTTGCTGCCCTCTTCATCCTTTGATGTGTGTCCTCCCCACCACTTCAAATTCGGAGGGAAGAAAGGCTTTGCAGGAATCGTTGCTGTCAAGCCCAAGACGATGTTTAGAAGACCTTTCAGAGGTGCCCATGTTGAGGGCACAGCTCTGGGTGCCAGAGGGGTGAGCAGCTCCAGGGCAGAAGAGCATGAGGATGGTTGGCCTCCAGGCTGTGGGCTTTCTCCTTGTCCCTGGAATTTCCTCTCCAGTTTGGATGGGACACTAAACAACCTGATCTAGTGAGTGGCATCCCTGCCTATAGCAAGGGGGGTGGAACAAGATGAACTTTAAAGTCCCTTCCAACCCAAACCATCCTGTGATTCTATGACTTCTTGATGTTTCCCTTCTGACCATTCTGGGCTTGATCACTGATTTACTTGTTTGGCAGCAATCAGGAACAAGCTCCTTCAGCACACAGAAAATCCTTTTGGGGTAGACAAGGCTCTCTCCTGCAGTGGCTCCCAGGGAGGAGGGACCACAGTTTGGTGAGGATCACTCCTTGGGGAAGCCCAGGAGCAGCTCCTGGACTGTGCTGGAGGATGCAGCTCCTGTAGCTCCTTGGAGAGAGAAGAGACCAAGAGCAGCAAAATCCTTGGGAAACTGGAGTCAGTGAGATCAGATGTGACCCAGATGAGGCTTGAAACCCAACTTCTCATCCTCCAGAGAGCTGTCCTGCACAGAGGACAGCTTGTTCAGCACACAGCCTTGGACTCCCTCGCCCAGGGTGGCAGAGCAGGGGTGCCTGGGTCTGAGCACCCTGTGGGGCTGGGAGGGCACAGTCCTGGAGACAGAGGGTGGCACAGGCAGTGGCTGGGCCATTGCAGGTGAGCACGGGGGCACTGGGGCTGGTTCCTCCCTCCGTGTGTGATTTCCCTGCATGGCGGGGGGGTCTCCTCCCGTTTCCTGCTGCGTTCCCGGGGCGATGCTGCCTCTGCCTCCCAGTCTGGATCTGCCTTCGATTGATGTGTTTGTGCGTTGAACAATCACAGCTTTCAAACAGCAGTTCCTGTGTTGTGTGAGGTGACATTTGGAGAGGAGCAGCAGCAGCTTATTAAATTGAAAGTAGGGGAGGAAAAAACTGACAAAGTGCTTGGAGTGCTGTGCTCTGGGTTGCCTCTCTCATGGAATCACAGAATACTTTGGGTTGGAAGGGACCTTAAACCTTATCTCATTCCAACCCCCTGCCATGGGCAGGGACACCTTCCATTATCCCAGGTTGCTCCAAACCCCGTCCAACCTGGCCTTGGACACTACCAGGGATGGGGCAGCCACAGCTTCTCTGGGCAACCTGTGCGAGGGCCTCACCACCCTCACAGGGAAGAATTTCATCCTCATATCCCATCTAACCCTGCCCTCTGGCAATGTGAGTAGGTGGTTGCTCCTCTGGTGGCTTGTAGTCTAGCCTGTTACATCGTGTTCCATGTAAACCCCACAGCCTTCCTGGGTAAACTGGACTGGGGCTGGGTTTTACCTTAGGGCCATTATCCAATTCAAATTCTGGAAGTGTTTTGCTCCTCAGCCCTGGAGTAGTGGGGTCATGGTTGTTTGTGCTCAGAGGTGCTGGGATTTTAGTAGTGAGACACTTGCCTTGGGAAGAGGCTGCAGAAGGGGCAGAGCCTCTGAAGACAACCCTGTGAGATATACTTTTGGGCTGAAAATTGATAATTTTTCCAAGAATTGAACAAGAGGCTTTTATTGTTTGTTTGTTATGGCTTGAGCAGTGATTTTGGCTTAAGGGGGGAGGCAGGGCAAGCTCCAGATGTGAAGAAGAGCTTGGCAAGAAAAGCAGGCGGCATCCGAGCTGAAGGGAGAAGAGTGGAGCGGTGATATTCTGGAGACATTTCCTGTTGTTTGGTTGTTTTTCTCTTTTGTTGCAATGAAAATGTGGTCAGTCCTGCCCTGGGAGCACCAGCCTTGCGTGATGCTGCCTGTCCTCTGCCACCACTGTCACAGTGTCAAGTGAGGTTTGTCCCCAGGCTCTCAGCCCTGCAGAGCTGCTGGGGACAGGCTGGTGGAGACAGGAGGTCTGGCTTCTATCCTTCATGTGGCTGTTGATTTGCTCCTGGCTGTGCCATAAAGGGTTTATTTTCTGCAGGAGGAGATGGCAGCAAATCCTTTTGTAATTTGTAACATTTGTGGTGCCTCATTTTTTGCATACACAAAGCAAGATTTCAAGACCAGGTTGAGCAGGACTTGGAGCAACCTGGACTACTGGACGGTGTCCCTGCCCATGGCAGGGGGTGAAATGAGATGAGCTTTAAGATCCATTCCAACACAAACCATTCCATGATTCTAACTATATTTGACTGATCCCTGCCAGGAAGGTGTTGGGGGCTGTGGATAGGTGGGGCTGGGCACACTGGGGGCAGGGGCTGTTGCCTGGGGCAGGGGATACTCAGGGGTTTACAGCAGGGATGTGCCCTCTGATCCCTCCCTGGGGAGTGGATCCCACAGCATCTGTACCCCAGGGCCTGCAGGTGGGTGTGGGATGGGATGCCCACTGAGCATCCCCTGAGGTGTGCTGGAGAGTAGGACATGTCCTGGGCTGTGGATCTGATGGGGTGGCATGTCCTTGTCCTCCCCAGGGGAGGCCTGGCGGCTGGAGGATGACTGCACGGACCCCCCCCGGGACGCCCAGCTGGGCACGGCGGTGGAGGACGCCCCGTTCAGCTACTTCCGCACCCGCTCCTTCTACATGAGGAAGAGCCTGTCCGTGGACAACCACCTGGGCTCCCTCAGCTATGCCGTGCACCCGGCAGAGACCAAGGCCGAGCGTGTCAAGACCAAGCTGCGGCGGCAATTCGTGAGTACCGGGGCCTGCCCCACCACCACGCACACACACGGCTTCCCAAAAACACCGCAGGGTGGAGAGCTGTTCTTATGGCCAACATTCCCAAAACAGCAGACAGAGAGGCCGCTCCAGTGTGGTGGAGCACCTGGCAGTGGCAGCTCAAGTTTGCCCGCGCTGTGGCAGAGCCCCTCAGCCGAGGGGGTTCCTGCTCCCTGATTTCGGTGGGCTGTCGCTGGCTCGGGGATGGCTGGTGCTCAGCCAGGTGATGTGTGGGGCAAGGGCGCGGTCCCTGGGCTGTCCAAAGCATGGAACGAGGCTGAAAGTAGGAAACAAGCTTTCCTGTGCTCAGCCTCACGTGCCTGAGGAACTGCATCTTCCCAACGGTTTGTCCTGAGCCAACAGTGAGGGGCTGGGGCAACGACGAGCCAGCACTGAGTCCCTGGGGCAGCTCAGCCCTTCCTGGCCCTTTGGAGCATTCTGGTGGCCGGACAGCCAGGACACGCCAGGGCTACACCACAGCTGCAGGAGCCTCTGATCAATGTTTAATGGGTTTTGCCTCTTCTCTTTCCCAGAGACACCCGATCCCGGGGTTTGTATGGCCTTGTCCTGCCTCGTTAGGGGCTTGGGGATGTAATGAGGGCTCGGATGTCTCCGTGATGAAAAGCACTTGGTGTTGATTGGCAATGGGTGAGAGCATTGGTACAATGGGAGCAGAGTAGGGAGTGGGTGCCTGTGCACCCCGAGGTGCTGAGGCTGAGGGAGCGGGGCTCATCCTTCCCCAGGCTTTGCTCAGACACATCTGAACCCCCCGAAATCGCTGACGTTCCTCTAACCCAGAGGAGGGGCTGGTCCTCCCCCGGAGCTGCTCCTGCTGTGCCTGGGCTGCGTCACTGCTGGACAGTGTGAGTCTGGGGGCTCTCCCTCCCTGCTTGTGCTTGGGTGGATCCTTGGATGTAATGCTGCTTTTTCCCCCGGAGGACAGTTCCACCCTCGAAGCGTGTTGGTGGCAGCAGTGGGTGCTGTGGGGGTGAGTCTGGGCGAGCTGGTCACGACCCAGGCGCTGCCAGTGAACCATCTCTGTGGGAGCTGCTGCCTTGGCTCGGGAAGCAGGTGAAAGCTCAGGGATGGAGATGAGTGGCTGAAAGATGCTGGAGCTGTTCAAGCTGAGGCGGCCCTGCTGTGGGGTAAGACAATGTCTGCTTTGTCTGTCTGCCTGAGTCTGCGGCCCCAGGTGCACCCAGCACAGCGGGAGGGACAGGAGGGCACTGCGACACTGGGGACCATTCCTCTTACAGGGATGTTTTTTCAGTATCTCCATGGGACTTGTTACTCATGGCCTCCCTTCTGCACGTGTGGGAGCCCTTGGACTCTCAGCACCGTGTCCTGGTGCCTGCAGAGAGGTGGGTTCTGCCCTGCCCTGTGGAGCAGCCCCCTGCCCCTGCCTGCTCGATGCCATCCCAGCACCTCTCAGTGCTGTCTGTGGCCCATTTGATTTGGCCTTCGAGTTCCTCAGGTTTTGGGGACCTTTAGCTTTCCTCAGTGTATCCCTGGAGCTGAGTGTTCCTCAAGGAACAGAGTAGGACTTCTATAGGGTGTGGATTTTTTTTTTCCTCTGCTACATCATTTCTGGTTCATTCTGACAGGTAAAAGCTGTGGTTGCTGTAGGCTTGGCTATGGTCTCTGACCTTGTGAGACCTGCTGAGAAAAACAGACTCATCCTCCTTGGCAAGGGCATCCTCAGGACCCTTCAGAGGAGTCTTGGGCAGGAAGTGTGGAGGAAGGTGAGCTGGTAACCCTTACTTAGGCTTGGGCCAGTACAGGACCAGCATTCCCCACACAGCTCCAGAGCCTGGTTTGTAAGATGAAAGTAAAGGTCTTGCCAACCTGGGGAAGTTGTTTCCTAGAGCAGTTCTGGGCTCTGTGTCCTCCCAGGGCTGGGTAGACACCTTCCATCTCCATGCTGGAGGTGTTGCAGCTTCCCCTGGGTCCGTGCTGTGCCCTCACCCTGCCTGGCACCTGCTCTGCCCAGCCCTGGCTGGTGGAGGAATTGATGCCAGGGGGGATCCACTCTCCTCATGCCTGGCAGAGCACGCACAGGAGAGAGCATGATTTGCCTTTTCCCACTGGCTCATCTGGGACCTTTTAGGAAAGTCCATGTTTAAAACTGGATTCATTTTTCTGGGCTGTTGCACTTGCCCAGCCTATAACACTGATTCCTGGCTTTGCTCTTTCCCTGCTGACAGTCTGAACCACCTTTGCCGCGCGATGCGGCTGCTCGGCTTCATTTTCACATTCCCCAAAAATAGAATTTTGGGAATTGCTGAGTGAGGGGGGAGGCTCCTGAGGCTTTGGGTGGGCAGCAGGGACCCTACGCTGGCAGGATGGATGGAGACAGGGCAGAGCTATTGCCCCCATGAATCCAGTGCTGTGTGGCACATCTCAAATCTCACATCATTAGGCTCTGCCTAACGAAGGCTTCGCATGCTGGTCATGGACATCTGAGCTTGTCCAAGGGAGAATTTATTACAGCTTGTGTGAAAACACTGGAGTCTGGCCTCCCTGCATCCCTGCATGTGGAGAGCTGGATGCTGCTGGGGCTGCTGAGGTGCAGAGGGAGCACCTGCAAATCCTGCCTGGCCCCGTTGTCCTGGAGCAGCCGCCCTTCGCGTGTCTGCCGGCGCCCAGCACCCCTGCCTGCCTCCCAGAGGGTGCAGGGTGGATTTCCTCCAACCCCCCATGGTGACATGTGTCTGCGGTCCCACTCTGGTGTGTGATGGATCTGCACGTACAGATTACTGGAATTTGCATAATTTGAATTTTAAATGAATTCCAATTTTTGTGATTGTCAGGACTAGTTTTCTCTCTAGTAAGCCTTTCCTTTTAGCTCCTCCAAGGCCTGTAGTGCTGTCAGCGATCCCGCCCTGGAGACAGAGGAGCGGTTGATTGCTTTTGACACCTGTCTCTCACACGGATCCCTGGCCTTGTCCCAGTCACTCCGGCTGTGATGGAGACATGACCAGGCTGGGACTGTGCTCCGAGACCTTGGTGTGTTGTTTGGGGTCACTCGGGCATGGCAAGGGCCTGGTTTGGGTTTTGTGCCCTGCTGGCTCTGAGACGGGCAAAAGAGGAGCAGGGAGGGGACCTTCTGCAGTGTCCCTTGCCCAGGGGCAGGAGGAGAGTGACATGGCTGAGTTACAGACTGTGCTGATCTCCTTGTCTTCGCAGGAGAACTGATCATTAAAGGCAGAATTAACCCTGTTAAACTCAGCATTAACCTCACAGAGCATTAAAGGAGGTCACTAGGCCTGAGTCACTGTCTGTGGTGGCTGCAGGGACAGTCAGTGCAGATTGCAGCAGGGCTCTGAGGGGATGTGGGCTCTTCCCTCTTCCCCTGGGGAGTTTGAAGGTCTCTGTATCTAGGCCAGTCATTCTGGCATTGCCCACTGACTTTGTGACATTATAAGGAAACCTTTCAGCCTGATGGCACAGATCCTGCTGCCTCTGGAAGAGGAGGAGCCAGTGGTGCCCGGGGTCACACCAGCTGGATTTGAGGTCTCTATCTGACCCCCCAGCTCCTACCAAATTACGTGCTGCTCCCTGTGCACGAGGGAGGAGTTGGCCAGTTTGTGCAGGGGAGATGGAGCAGATCAACCCTTGGCATTGCCATGGCATCCCTGGTGCTGCCCCAGCTGCACTTGTGTTTGCTGTACTTCCTCTGTTTTACAAGTAGGTGACTCAAGGTTGTGTTGCTTCCCTGACTCTGCACTAATTAACTTGACTCTGCGCTCTCATGCACTAATTTATTTTTTAATCATCATTATTTTTTGGGTAGTATTTTTCCAGGCAGTGATTCTGATATGAAATGTCTGTGCCCTGCAGGTAACACTTAGAGCACTGTTTGTCTTGGGAGCTCTACAGATGAGCTGAGCAGAGGTAATCCCTGCCTTACAAAGCCATGATGAAGGAGGAAAGGCAAACCGGGATGGTAGAGCCTGGGCAAGGGAGGCAGCGAGGGGAGGAACTCACTGTGTGGCAGAAACTTGATCACAGCTGGTGCTCACTGGAGTCACTCACAGGGACTGGGCTGGCATTGGCTGAGATGTACCTGTCCAGGTTTTCCTATTCCCATGAATAATGATCAACCATGAAATGCCTCCTGTTGCTGGTGGTCACTGTAGTAATATTGGAGAGCACATGGGTCAGTGCAGAAACCTCCTCACCCCAGAGCAGCACCAATCCGTGGGATGTGAATATCCCAGTCTGGGCTTTTGGTGCCAGCTGAGCTGGGCAGAGCCAGAGACCTAGTAGGACATTAGTAGAACCCAACTCTGCTTTATCCCAATGGTTTTGTCTCGTTCCTAAGTGTGCAGGGACTTCCCAAGTCTGTGGGGTGCAGCCAATTGTCTCCTGTATGCAGCCAGTGCTGGAGGCTTTGGCATGATGCTTTGGTGACAGTGAAGTTGGTTACCTGCTGTAACCCCACTGGTACCAGTGAAATCCTAGCTCTCTCCTTGCTGTTGGATTCTGTTCTGACACTGCTACAAACCTGGTTTCAGAAAGTGTCAGCAAACAGCCAGAAAATGCTTGGCTGTGCCTGTAGTTCAGTGTGACAAAAAGAAATAATAATAATAAAAAAATAGAATCATAGAGTCCCAGAATGGTTTGGGTTGGAAGGACCCTTAAAAACTATCTCATTCTACCCCCCTGCCATGGGCAGGGACACCTTTCACTATCCCAGGTTGCTCCAAGCCCTGTCCAGCCTGGCCTTGGACACTTCCAGGGATGGGGCAGCCACAGCTGCTCTGGGCTGAACAAATGCCTGTGCAAGAGGCAGGTCAGCTGTGCTTGGTGGGGAGGTGGAGCAGAGCGGTGGGTCTCCCTGGATCCACGTACACACTGCCCCAGCCTCCTGAGCAGAATGGCAGCAAGTGCCTGAAGGAGGTGGGTGCAAAGGCAGGTGAAGGATGAGCTCTGTGTATCACTGCCTGGGCCCAGCCCCTCCCTGTCACATT